AAAAAATGTATATGTCTCACGTTGATGCCCGTGTAATTGTCCTCTTGAAATTGCTGCTTCAGTATTTTATTTGGAGATCGTCATATGTCATAAGCACTTTCAGACACAGAAATCATATGGTCCTTCATAACCATCACTTTCGTATATAATCACCCTATATAGTTAGCCTATTACCCGCAGCACTCAAGTCTCTAGTTGTCTTCTAATTGAGTGTGATAAAATATTTATGCTCTTACAAGAAACCACATCATAAATGCCATATTGAGTTATAAGGCGTATTCATGTTGGAGTAGCACGCATGCAGCTAGTAATTTTCAAACTTTTTCTTGATGGCTCATAAAGTTATTATAGTTATTTCAAGCTCTGTATAGAATGTAAACTTAACATAAGATTTTCGACATATATCTATACAGTTGATCACTTTCTGTGTTCCTATGTTTTATTGCTTCAAGTCATTATCCCAATTTGTCGATGTATACTTTTAGGCAGCCTTGCGGCTCCATGAGTATTGTTACTGACATTTTGTTTAAATAGCTCAAGTACTGGTATTAAGAGGATTTAAACCCTTGGTTGTTCCCAGCTCAAGACTAAGTTGCTTAGTTTGGTAAAACCTCTAATGTTGGATGAATACAGGGAATACCGGGAGCATGTGAAGGATCTCTCTGGCCTAGCGAAGGATATGAGCCGAATTGTTATTGTCGACAACAACCCTTTCAGTTTTTTGTTGCAACCTTTGAATGGAATTCCATGCATTCCATTTTCTGCTGGGCAAACACACGACACACAGGTAGAAAAATCAAACTTATTGAAATTTCCGGCTCTTTACCAGTTATTACTTAACTTCTCGGTTTCACATCCTTTTCCTTTCCTCTTAACCTTTGTTGTTCAGCTTTTGGATGTTCTTCTTCCACTCCTCAAGCACCTCTCACTGCAGAAAGATGTAAGGCCTGTGCTTTATGAAAGGTTTCACATGCTTGAATGGTTTCAAAAGCAGGGGATTCCTTCAACAAGTTGGAAATAGTAGGATTTTCAATAATTATATGCAATGGAATTCCCATTCTTCTTTCGTGCAAATCCTCAACCGTTGCTTAGTTCAAGCCTCAAGGGAGTGTCTGTACAGCTTCAGTGTGTGCACTGCAATTTGTTGATACAAGGCTGTGTTTTGACCAGAGTTCCAAGTGCTTCATCTCACTATCATACGAAAACCATTTATGTATCTAGATTTGTTTACTATGATTTTTGTGTAACTTTGTCTATATTGTTTGCTGTTCTCTTCAATCCCTTATGTAATTTGTTAGGATTTTTTGAAATTGTTGCCAATAATTATTAGCAGTTTATACGTTTCTCATCGTGCTTGTGTTTTATATGCTGCTGATATGAAATCAAAAGAGTCAGAACTCAACGGAATGCCATCGGTTTGCACGTGTAAGCATACGTGCTCGAATTGGAATTACACCAAAGATTATCTAAGGCCATCTCAAATGTAATATCCAAGTTCTAATTTTTGGATCCAGATTTGGGTTTTAAGTTCTATTCAAACACAAATATGAAATTACGGGTTTCTTTCTGGTACAACATAAAATCCTATGGTCTTAGCTGTAGCAATGGGGATGACCTAATGGTTGTATATTTTCAGTTTTGTTTTCTGTCATCAATTCTTTCTGGTACAACATAAAATCCTACATAGAGTGAAACTTAAACTACCAAAAAAAAACAGAGTATAACTTGGCTTAGACCGAGTCTACGCATTCATAAATAGATACATAGGATGAAAATCAATTCTGTCTGGTCCTGAGTTGAGTGTGACCAGAAGTAACCTAACAATTCTAATCCTAGCCCCTTGAACCACCAGAAAGTACGTTGACAGACCAAACTTCAGCCCAACTGCTAGTCTCTGTGTCACTTTTTGGTCAGAGGAAAAACCCAAAAAGAGTCTTTAGGGCCAAACTGGACTGAACTATCATCATGTGAATTGACATTTTTAGGCTGAGCCTGTTGGATGGTTAACACTAGGCCTCAGCTGCAACCGCT